AGGAAATTGCAACCGCGTTGGCAATTATGTTGTCCTATGCCAAGGTCGATGACCAGTCGAATGAAAATTTCCGACTATCCATTGGTAGCCTGAACCAACTGTTGTACCCCATATGTATATGCTTCCTGGGTAGCTCAGGACGTGGTAGTTGAATAGTGGCCGGACCCTGTCAACCTGGTGAAAACATTTCATCATTAGTCGAATTTTCATCATCAGTGTCCAGTGGTGTAGACATACATCGTGGTACAGTGGTAAGTCGCTGTGTAGGTACTGACAATATAATCTCGATCGTTGACGAAACGTGCATTAGCAAGATCAGCACATATTTCAGCCACCATGCGTGTACACTTTTCATCTTACTTAGAGTCCAGATAAAGATATTAAGAGCAGATGCTGTTTTCATCCCAATTTGCTTAGCCAAAAGTTGATATGATGAAGTGTTAGGCCTTCCAAAGCATCACGAAATGACCAATGCATTCATATGCGGATCTCAGAAATTTATTCCAGCCGAGTGAGAAGAACTGTTAGCTCCTAGAATACAAATCGCGACGCTAGACTTACTTCAATTCATACGGGACACATCCACTTGTGAATGTAATGACAGAGTTTAACCGACTAATTTTGCCACCTATGAATGACCCAATAGACTGACGCGTAATCTCTTGGGTCACAGGATAAACCCCCTGTGTGTGTGGGGGGAAAATCTGGTTGCATTGCATCAAAGGATTCACACAAAAATCACAAACAGTTGGTAATCCCTACGACTTGGCAAGCTGCTTATAATTTAAAGAAAAATCTGCACAAATAAAAAATAGCCGATCCTAAATCTCTTCCATGACTGGGAGAGTAAACATCACGCCTTGGCTTAAAATTGAGAACTTTAGTTTTACCAAATTGCCGCAGTATTAGATCTAGACCGACGAACTTCGTAACTAGCTTGATCTACAACGTGATTAGTCCATTTTTGTAACAAATTTTCCTACTTGCTTCCTACCTGGAATGTTTCCACATTTAGAGAGCATTCGTTTTGTGGAAATATGCAGTTACCAATAGATCGTCACTGTATGAAGATCGATCATTTGGCGTATTCTGGACAATTCCTTAACCTCGAAGGTTCTATTGGTCAGAATTTTGTGACATAATAAACTCTTGCATACCACTCGTGTTTGAATGTATGTGCCACAACATCCGGATAACCACAAATTACTTTGCTGTCATCTGACGCATAACCGAAACCTTCAAAAAAACCAGTGGCAGCCAACCCTGACACATAAATACATAGCTTATTTGCATGTAATTTCGAGATCCGTAAAACCTACCACCGCTTCAATAGTCTCCCCTGTCCTGGTGAGACCATTCAGGTGGGAGGTAGGGAGAACTGGACTCAAGTTCCACCCTAACCAGAACTGATCAGAAGTAATATCCCTGGCATTGACAGAGACTCGACCCCGGACATACGACATGCGAGACTAGCGTGTTACCACTACCCCCAAACGCACACTGGACGAGCCTGAACGATCACTTCTGGATAGGTGCACGCGTTCACGCTAGAGTGATGCGAATGATTAGATTGACAAATCGGACTTCTACTTGATACTTCTCATGATTATGCCGCCGATCGATTGAGCCGCCTGTCAACATTTACCAGTGCTGCTAGGATCACATCAACTTGGCTTGTGACAGACACGAAACCAGCGAAGACGGAGAACAAGTTTTTCATTTTTTTTTAATAAAAGGCACTGTGAGTGTGGCTAAAGTGTTTCACCCGTAAAAAGTTGTAATGCGTTAGGATTTCAGTGATCTATGCATCAGAAGCAAAGGCGATCCTGGTGCAGTGTCAACTTCCTTGCATATTTATGGCCTCACTATACATTGATTAATTTCGAAATGGTTATCTTATCCTCCTGTTGGAATAGACTCGATTTTATTGGCACCATGGCTGTACTCTATCCTCCTATCAAACTTTTTGTTCAGTGGATTGCTGAAGGTGCCATAATAATCCACGTGATAAGTGCACTCATCTTCAGCACTTGCACGAGTGTATGACGAGGGCGAAACTTCGTCCCTATGGATAACCTTTTGACCTCTTTATCCGCTTTGACTATCCAATGCCACGAAGATATTATGGAAAGTGAATAGCACAAATTCTAAAGATTAAGCACAGCTAGTAAAGTTGAAAGCCACACAATCAAATGATACGGAGGAAACTTGACGAATGTATCCTAGCAACACTATTTGGGTTTGTCTATAAGCCTCCCTCTCGATTCCCCTGTCTAGACTTTGGCATCCCAGCTCTCGTGCTTCTTACAGGTGGCATGTCAATTAGACACCACGCTACAGCTGAACAATTTCAATTAAGCCTGCTACGCTGAGTTAAGGTGAAAGTTTAAGGAACTAGGAACAGCGGTTCACCAAATCTTAAGCCATGTAGAAACCCACAGACACGTTCTTTCTGGTTTGTTTTGGTGTTTCGAGTGGCCTATGTGCTTAGAGAGTGTCCGCTGCACATATTGTAGCGCAACCTGCATTACCATCATTCAGTGTCAGCCCATGCGCTATCGATTGGCGTGTTCTTGTATTAAGTAACGGCGTAAATGCACATGAAATTCACTGCCGACGCATCACCCAGTATACAGCTTTGGATTCCACAAATAAACGTGCATGAACCAAAGAATCGAATTCCCTATGTCACGTCGTTATTCTATTTCCGACACGAATCCATCAGAGTGGAACAGACTGTCAAAATAGTGCCTTTGTGCGGTTGATGTATTACACAGATGTATTACACAGATGTATTATCACAGCCTCGCATTACTTAACCTAGGAAAGTTTGTACCGTCACTGTTTAGCCAGGCTGTTAATCTGGGTCCGCTCCACAGTGGCTGACAAGGTAGGGACAAGATGCACAGATATCCCTATTGAGTTGAAGCCAGCAGGTGTAGGCAACAAGCGCTTGATAACACAGGCTTTTGTCAAACAAAGTCCCAGCTCTCGAGGAACACACTCATTTGCAAGTCAATTTGGTTTTCACGAGAGACTCAACTGAATCTCTCGCTTTATGGTATTCTACAACTGAATGCCCCGCACACAGGCCGCCTCATGTTTCAGTTGGCACGATATTCGAGATATCGCGGTATCGGTTAGTGATAATGAAGTTCTTAGGGGAACTACTCACATGGTTGCTGAAATCTCTTCGACAGCCCACGACCGGGTTCGCCCCTCTTGGGGGTCATCAGTTGGGCGCAGTCCCCGAGGTTCGGTCAACCTTATGTCCTACTTAAACCCAAGTGGGAAATACACTCATTTGCAAATCAATATGGTTTTCACGAGAGACTTAACTGAATCTCTGATGAGGCCCAAGAAGAGCGAAACCGGAACAGATCATTTAGATACGGGAAAAGTGTCATCTTTTTGGACGAGGGGCAACAAAGTGTGAGCTGCACCACTAGAAAAAAAGATATGCCTAGATGTTGGTGCACAAACACGAAATAGAAGAGATTAAGAAAGATGCTTTAGGGTGAGAACTCGTTTGTTTCGTGGCGAATAAAAAAATAAATATCTTGCTGCAACAAGCAAGTGCCGAATCGGTCTCACATTACATCGCACATGACTTTCCAGAAGGTGGAAAAAGTGTTTTGATGAAGGACTTTCAGATCAATCCAAAGAATGGGAGGTCGCTACCGGATATTCCGTGCGACAATATAAATCGGAAGCCAATGGGTTACGTAAGTGACGCGATAAAAACCGGTCGAGATCCACGCATGTGCAACGATGCCTTATGCTTTTGGACCCGTCAATAATCAAGACAGAATTTACAAAAGCTGGTGTCTAAGTGTAGGTATCTTCATGGTATAAAATTCCATTTTTGTGGTAACCTGACATCATTTGGTTCGAAAAGGAAGAAAAATTTGAGGTTAACTTGTATATCAGGATATCTTGCTAGCAACCATTCCCGTGAAGAGCAGGTATGGAAAGCGTTATTTCAAACTGACAGTGTCTCTATGTGTACTGAATAGCTACAAAGATCATTTTAAATCTAATCCAGTTAGTTCGTTTTCAAACTGCCTGACCGAGGATACGTAAGTAAGCTCATCCTAAATCCCACAAAGCATAACTCAAGCCCTTTTACACCATGGATGGGAAACAGAGGGGAAGTGTGTGGGTGCTGCAATATGTGAGGGCAGCTTGTTTCCTCAAAAGGCGTGGAAAAAAGACACTACCTTTCATAAGACCCGGACATGCTGGGGTGCTGTGATTTTTGCGATTACCCCTTGGTCTTTCACATAATTTAGCGTGGAAAAACTATGTTCCGGGGCCTATACGTGCCAATTCAACATCGATCTTGTGCTCGGTCAGCAGGCTCTTGAAAATCGTCGGAAATTTTGTTGTTTCAGTTTAAATGAGCTCTAAGAAAGCGAAAATCTGTTGACCTGGACGAAAAACTGAAGAATTCTATGGGGAAAGTTAACAGCGCATGCTGAATACCTGCGGACTAAGAAATATTTGGAGTCTCAACTGAGAATTTCGCTCTAGTAGTCAAACAGAAGCCAGAAAAAATAACTTTACGGACAGTTTGGAAAAACAAACTAGTGAAATAAACGGCTACCGTCAAGTGAGATCATACTGAAAGTCATTGTGGAGCAAGTTACGAAAGACGTTACGAGTGACTTACATCGCCTCTGGCCTGTTGTCCTGACTACTGATAGTCTTGTTCGTTGTGCCTACTTATGAGTAGCTGGGTTGATAACATCTACGATACGCGAAAGTTTAGGCAGACCAAGTTAATTTGTCATTCACGCGAACAAGATTGGTTCGGTTTGATAGGTTTCCTTGAAGGGTTATTAGGGGGCTGAACTACTTTACGCTGTATACCTAATGCACGCTCCCGTATTTTAGTCACCGTCCCACAACCTGTTCTGATCCAGCGTATCTGTGGCGCAGGCTGCGTGTCTGTCAAGCTATCACTTGATTGGCTACTTTCCATTGGCCAATCTCGACAGCCTACACTGGTTGGCTGGCATCGGCAGAGCTATAAGCTGAGCACGTGTATCGCACATTGCGCATTTGTGACATTGTGGTTGCCTGCTCACAGTATGGGTTCAACTCTCTCTCGGATTTTTCACCGCAAACAAGATGACGAGGCGAAACCGAAGGTCAAAAAGCCACGCCGATTTGGTAGCCTACGAAGGCAGCGTACAGATGATCAGGAGACTGGTACTCGTGTCTCAAGATCCAGTACAATGCCGTCCAGGACGCAGCGTGTCAGGACCGAAGACCGGTCAACAGGACTCATAGGGGAAACAGCTGAAGAGGTACAGCGTTTGGAGGATCGACAAGAGATAATGCGGGATGTGATGGATTATGATGAAACTGTTACTCCGGTTGCCGCTCAGCATCTGTCAGCACAAATGCCCCACGTGGAACCGAGTCACGTCCCGGAACACAAAGAAGTAGTACCTGAAATAAAAGCAGAACTTCCAGGTGGGTTTGCTGCAGTACAGTTGGTATCTGTGACTTCAAACGATAAAGCTGTCGAGGACGTTCCTGAGTTAAGTCCGATGACAGAAGCCTTGCATGAAGAAGAAGACGAACCCGTGATATTGAATGCGGAGGACTTACGACAGGAACACGAGGAGCATACTGAACACATCGAACAGAAAGTATCGCGTGAACAGAATATCGAGCCTATTATGGAACTTGAGATTGACACAGGAACACGAGGAGCATACTGAACACATCGAACAGAAAGTATCGCGTGAACAGAATATCGAGCCTATTATGGAACTTGAGAAATCTGCTGAAGAAATCCCTGAATCTATCGAAAAACTAAGCGCTGATTCTGCCGGACAAGCGCATTCAGAGCAGGACCTTGGGCACATACACGAAGAGGCTTTCACACAAGAGGACAGCGAACACGTGAAAGAAACTGTTGACTATTTCCATGGAGAAGGTACCGAGCTTAACGGGCAATCTCAAAGTGAGGAATTTATTCGTTCTGAAACAGCGTATGTCCAGGCGGATGAAGTTCCCATCCGATATGATGCAACAGAGAATGTTCAGGCGTGTGCTCCAACCGTGGTCTTCGAAACAGTAGAAAATTCATTTGCTGAAAAAGGAGAGGACCATATCCATTTGGAAGATGCCCAACGTGGCGAAGAAATACTCGGGAGCTCCAAGGAGGAAGCCGCTGATTTTGGGTTGATAACACGGGAGACTGCCACTGGACAAGATTTTGAACCTGTGAGCGAAAATATCTTCCCCCATGTTCAGGCCGAATCCAGTGATGAACACGATAAAGTAATTGGAGAGGATCAAAACGAGCCTTCAGACATAGTGGAAGGTCAGTATCTCGAAGGGGTCAAACATTTTGAGAAACAACAGCAAGAAGATGAAATTTTGCAAGGAGAATCGGTAAACGGTGAGGAGTTTGTTGAGAAATTCCCCGCAGAACACAAGGAGCACGTCGACCCATCTCAGGAAATCTCGGGTGTCCAAGATTCCGAAAACTCTCTTGAGCGCGGCGATTATGACCATCTGCCACATACTGAAGATCACATCGAGGAACTTCCGACTGAAGGCGCAAAGCTTGAAAACATGTCTCAAGTTTTAGATGTTCAGTATTTCCAACAGCCTGTCGAAAATGAAACACACGATCGTCTATTGCAAGAATTCACTGAGCATACTGAAGAGCCCCTGGAGCAGCCTTTCGCTAAAGATGCGGAGCCTGAAGGGATATCCCAGGAAATCTCAGTCCAAAAACCACCCGAAAAGGAAACAAAGGATCATCTACTGCCCGATCATAATGAACATATTGAGGGTTCCGCCGAGCATATTCCTGATAAAGATGCAGAGCCTGAAAACATGCTCCAGGAAGCCATAGATGCTGAGCATTTCCAGGGATCGTTTGAACATGAAGTACTGGATCATGATGAACACACTGAGGGATCCGTTGAGGATGTTACCGCTAAATATGCAGAGATTGAAGACGTGTCTCAAGAAGTCTTAGCTGATGAGCATTTTCAGCAGCCGCTTGAAGACGAAACACGAGATCGTCTACTGCAAGAATTAGCTGAACGTAGTGAAGTGCCCGTGGAGCAGCTTTCCGCTAAAGATTCGGAACCTGAATACACGCCCCAAGAAACTATAGATGCTGAGCATTTCCAGGGGTCGCTTGAACATGACGTACAGGATCATGGATTGCACGATCATGATGAACATACCGAGGAGTCCGTTGAGCACGTTCCCACTAAAGATGCGGAGCTTGAAGAAATGCCCCAAGAAGTCTTAGATGCTGAGCATTTCCAGGGGTCGCTTGAACATGACGTACGGGATCACGGATTGCATGATCATGATAAACATACTGGGGAGTCCATTGAGCATGTTCCCGCTAAAGATGAAGAGGTTGAAGACATATCTCAAGAAGTCTTAGATGCTGAACATTTCCAGGAGTCGCCTGAACATGAGACACAAGACCGTCTACTGCAAGAATTTACTGAACATAATGAAGAGTCCGTGGGACAACTTTCCGCTAGGAATGCAGAGCTTGAAGAAATACCTCAAGAAGTCATAGACTCTGAGGATTTTCAGCAGCCGTCTGAAATTAAAACAGATCACCTTCTGCCAGAATATACTGAACAATCCGCTGAGGAATTCCCGGCTGATTTCGCGGGGTTCTCAGATGTGTCCCAGGTATCCCCAGATACACAGCACTCTGGACAAACTCCACAAGGATTTGGTAATGATGAAGAGACGCTAGATGATTCAAAGCGCATCGATGTGTTCCAGGAGACCCTGGAGATCCAGCATCTCGAACAACCTCCTGAGTACGACGATGGTGCTCTTATGCAACTGCAAGATACTGAACACGTTGAAAAGTTTTCTTCAGGGTCATTCAACCAAGACGTTCAACAGGCTGACACAACCCCGGAACTGTTGGATATCCAGTATTCCGAGATTCCCGGACAACACACTCCAGCAGGAGATGTCCTGCATAGTGATGTTGAACGCGATATCGTAGAGGATGACTATATACCTCGGGAAACCTCAGCTAACCAACTCTCTGAGCAAGTCCTTGAGCAAGAAACCAAAGATACCCCAAAGTTTGAAGATATCAACGAGGAAATTCCCGATGAAGCTACGGATTACGGAAATGATTTTATAAAAATTGCGAATAGTCCACAGCTCGAACTTGAAGGTGAACGGCAGGTGCAACAAAGTGAGGGGCACTTTGAGAGTGATTCTATGGAAGATTCAGCCCATCAGGAATCCCAAAAAGAACTCAAACCCGAGTACAATGAACACGTTTCGGAAGATGCTGGAAAACCTTTTTTGGAAAGTACTGACTATAGTGATGAACCAAACCTCGTTAAACGGGAACATGTGTTTGAGCAGGATGATGCGAATTTGGATGCAGAGTCTGTACCACCGCAAGTCGGAGAATCTCACTCCGATCAAACTGGCAACAATGCACATGAGAATATTCAATCAACAGAAGAAAATACCAACGACTTGCATCCGGATCAAGCAGGATGGGCCGAGTCTCATGAGTCAGGGTCCGCAGAACCTATGCCTGATAACGGTAGCATCAATGGACTGGATGTTGGGTATTTGCAGCTCGAGAAGAATGTTCCAGAAACAGTTGAATCCAATGGGGATTTCGATCATTCGATGAAGCTACTAAATACAGGATTAATCGACCAACAAGACTTTGATTCTGACATTTCACGGAGTCCTAAACCGACGGCAGCCTGTGATTCACCGCATGATGAAGATCAACACCCAAATGGCCTGCCTGTTAGTGGTGCAGAGAACCTCATCTGAGGAAGTTATTTCTCAAACCCCGTACCACTCTCTTAATGTTCACTAAAAGAAAACTGCGTCATCCGTACACCGTGTGGACTAGATACAAATGCATATGCACATAAAGTGATTTCGCTTTCGGATGCTGTATCTATGCGCCAGTTCCCAAAATCCTAAACAGAACAGGTGAGCCGTTCTACGGTTAAAGATTCTGTCATCACAACTGCTTCACTGAATCTCAATTAAAATTCATTCCTTGTGCATGTAACTTACGTTTTTGAGGTTGGTGCTCTTCGGTCATGCGCGCTGTAACCTTGTCATTTGGTGTGAATGGCATTATTGTCCCACTGAACCTCAGTCGTCCGCTGAGGCTAGTTGATTTTTTTACGCCACTCATGCCACCCCCTTCTGCTTTCTACGTCCAAACTTGCCTATTTAACGAGTAGCCGTATGCCTTTCGTCTGCGATAAATGCCACGGGATTATGATCCCGCAGACAGATTGGTCAGCACTCGACACGTGAGTCAAGATAACCTATCTGTCCGACGATAGGTGTGTAGATCTATCTTTTCTTACGTTCCAAGTCTGTCGGTGGTTCGCCTTGATCATTGTTTTTCTGTTCAGATATTTTCCCACATTCAGTCACTCACTCATTTGCTTTCTCTCATGACATTTGTGCTTATTTTTTTTGGACAATGTGAATTTGTGAAAGGACTAATACTCACCAAGTTATTTGTCTCTACGCTGTTCTCTTCACGTGATACGCGAGCACTGCGTGAACCAACTGGTAGGTCTAAGTGGGAGACTATACATACTTGGGTTTACAAAACTCTCAGGCAAATATCGTTAGGATCTTCACGGTAAGGAATCCCCAGTGTGGAACAAAATTCGTAGCCCCGTGTCATTCGTTTCCGTATTTATTTGTCGGGCTACGAAGATGGACCCCCGCGCCACATTCGGTTTGAGCTGGGTCACGTATGCAATCAGCTAAGAAGCCAAGTTATGCCCAAAGTACACCGGAGTAACTATTGCTTGACACGAGGGAACAGTGTCAATCTTCTCTAAAACATCTACTGACCAAGTGTAGTTAACTCAATGTCCGAACGACTCTGTGTTATTGTCAAGAAACTGATCTAGAAGCTTGAACAATCTCGAGTTAGTCTTGTCCCCACTGCAGTGTTGCGGACAAGCCGCCTAAGTGCTGTTCTGTTCGTCGAGCTTGGCATTTTTCTAGACTTTTAGGCCCGACATTACGTCGGTGTGTAAACAAGAGCTCTTATGAAGTGGCTTTTCTCTCTGAGAATCGCAAATACAAACGACGCGAAGAAAAACGATTTTGGCTGCATTTGACGCTTCTCAAGGAGAGTGCCGTTTCGCGTTTGTGGATACAATATTATTTGACACCTTGCAGGTCACCTTATCTTGTATGTTCATCAATGAGGATGCACCTAAGTCGTCCTGTCTATGCAGAACCAATGTGGTAGGTAATAGGTTGCCCGTTCGACTCCTGTTCCCGGCGTCTATCTGTTGTACTCACTGGTCATAGTGTACTCTAAGGCATTGCGGAATATCTGGGAGCTATATTACCCTTACAGTGACATGTAGATACCTGAATTACTGCCTAGGCAAGACTAGTTCGGATCAAAAATGCGTTTCTCTTGAATATGTGTTGGTTCTACAGAAATTCGGTAAAGAAATATAGACTTAACTCCTTTACGTTTGACCATAAGGGTTCATATGTTGTGCCACTTGAATTGAAATCTCAGAAGTGCAACAACGGCCATGTGATTCTTTGGTTTAAGTATATAACTAAAACAGTCAACCAAGTACATGACATATTATTATGGTCTACCGTTATAAGGTAGTGGGGAAGCGGAAAACAATTGAAACCCAAAGTTCGAGAGTAGTAAGACTCGTGGTTTGTAAAACTAAACACCTATTTGTTAAACAAGTTGAATGAATGGGCAGCAAGAAATGGGCGCGTCATATTTCAGCCACACTCAAGACGCGGAATTATCATTCTCATTACAGCATAAGTTATGAGGTTGAGGGGGAAGGTTCTTCGACCTTTTGGCTAATGTGTAGGTCTTGGCGTAAAGCATGGTACAAGGCGAGTTGGGCCGAAACTCTTCTGTAAAATTACGGGATTCAATCTTCGGTAGATGAGCTTCATTACTCTGAAGCCGTTGCAGATGAAAGCGGCTATCATCATTGCTAAAACCTGGTAGAAACTTCACCACCTATCTTCCTCTTGTTAATATTACGTTTCGTCAAATTTACAATGATGTGGTTTCGTTTTTCCGTCGATTTTACTCCGGTCCCATATTTTGTTTCAATACAGATTAAGTAATTTTAGACTGATATTTGGTACATATGGCCCTTGCTATTGATCGTCCCAAGTCTACAAGAAACAGGGAATCACGTGACTCGTTAATAAACACATCGATTGCCCGAACATTATTAGTCATAAGAAATTGATTGTTTTCGATAATTGAGTATACGAATACCAACTGAGCTCCGAACCAAGCACAGAAAACGAACAAAGTTTTACAATACCCATTCAGATACCAAAATGGTGATAAATAGTGACTGGACTTAAAAACCGAGTAGAAGAGTATCCGGACAACATGGAGTCGAATATGGCGTGAGAAATCGATATGAGAGACACAGATTAAACGGTGTTTGTCTAACGTTATAAACAGTAAACAGGCAACAATGTGTATAACGAAATACGAAGAAAATGCTCGGATCTGGTTCCAAATGTAACTTAGGGGTAACTTTTTTTCATAGTCCTGGAGATTTGCCAAGATAAATGTAGTCCGCAAATGTGGCTATTCAACTCTGACCGAACAGGGCTACTGTCATCACCGAATGTGCTAAAATAAGCCTTAACACCATCGCTCAGCCCTTCTTTCGGAGACCACTTTAAATTATTGTCATTTCGTAAAAATTGGTCGTAAATATCTTGGGCCAAAGACCTGTGATCTGTATGTTATGAGACCCCAAAAAGTGTTTCAGACATGACTTCCTTTCGGGACTTTTGTGTGCCGTGTGATGAAACTCTCATCACTTTGTACTTAGGTTTGTGGACATGCGTGTGAAACTGCCCTAGGTAACACCCCCAAAAAGTTCGGCATGCCTCGAGTGCGTGTTCGTCGTCTGCTAACCTCTGTTTATTCCGCCAATCCTGAACCTGTTACTCCAATCTTGGGCACTCTTCACATTGTTTTCTATGCCTCACTGTCCACCATCCTCGATATCCTGGTTCCACACACATTAATAGGGTACCGGAGTTGCTTGTATTTTCCCATACTCGAGTGAGAAACCTGTAGGCATGAGTTGGATTTGCCCGTGGCATAAATTACTTCCCGCCATTGCCTGATGCGGATTCATCACGAAGTTCACCTGAAGAATTCACGGCATCGACAACACCCGGAATAACATGAGCAAAGCAGTTAGCTTTGCGTGCCTCTTAACCAAAGTTATGCTGTTTGTGTGTTCCTTTCGTCGATCCCCCTACAAGCACCAGCCACATACTTCAGAAGATACGAAGATATCATACCAACTGTTGAAATAATTGGGAATTTCCAGCTTGGTAACTGTGATAGTTGCTCGCATCACAGATATCCATGTGCCTGAATGTGTTAAATTTCGACTCTCTGAGAATTTGCATCGAACAAGTTTGATCAATTCCGTCGGGATGACCGTCATTCTGTGCTTGGAATTAAATTTTCGTCCGAAGCACCAATGGGTCTATGTAAATAGGTTTTATTTTACAAAAAGTGCGGTATTTAAGCCGAACTAAGTCATCCACTTCACTATAATGGCATATTGATAGGGCGATAGGTTGTCTCGCTCGCACGCCCCATAATGATAAACCAATGCCTGAGTATAAACTGAAACTCTTCATGAACTCTTCAGCACCAGAAGGAATCAGAAACAAGATTTGTCGGGAGATTCATCAGGGTTGAGTAGGTTGATGAGTCTCGAACTAGGGATTAGCTGAATGATTGCCTTTCTGAATGGAGTACAGTAAAAAAGATCGATTTTGCTCGGTCCTTTCCAAGTTCCTCCCATTTGTCTTTGCCTCCAATGAGAAATCCTCTCACCTAATGCCTTAACTTGAATCGGCTTCTTCGCGCCTTCTCACCAGGATGATCAATTATGTGTGTGGAAGGAATCGATCGTAGTGATGAAATCGAAACAACGCAGTACCAGCAGCCACAAAGGTCTGAATCGCGTCAAAACAAGAACTCATTGTCGAGACTGAAGTGAAAACCTGTTACATGTAGGTTCGGTGATAATTCGTGGCCGTAAACACACCGTGACCGACCAGCATGCAATCACAGCACATGAACCCCCCGGTCTCAGCGTGACCGAATTTACGGCAACCCAGTTTCACATGGAAGGCACGTGTCATAGCAAAAGTACAAACTAACAATCCATCGGTACCTGTACGATGAACGGTCAAATCAAACGCTACCCCTTCCTCTACAAAGTGTCAAATCTTCCATGTATCATCCTTGAGCCGTCAGTTTAGATTTATAGACAAATGTATCCTCAGAGTATCTCAGTTCTGAGCTACAAGCCAGTCTTTTACCAACGACTCACAGCATTCACGCCAGAAAACACCAGAAGATCCGACCGCATTCATGACCACACAGATCACGTGATGTGTTATCATGTGAAGATCATACAAATAGAGCATGGAAAAAGTGAACACATTTCAACAGTGGCACTCTCAAACTTATGTTTGTCATTGTTCTAGATAAACTGGACGTTGATGGTCAAGTTTCACATTTCGAGGCTTGCAAATATTGTGGAGGTATTCGCTCGATGAACTGTCGGAAAAGTTGTACATCGGGCAGACTAAAAGTCTGGGACCCCCTGTTGCTCAGCGGCTTTTCATCAAGGAAAATCAGTTGCAGGAGTTTTAGATTAGATCTTAGTCATCGTAATTTAGGAGCAGCGTCATCGGTGAAGGCAGCCAAGTTCACATGGAGGAGGTGGGTGGAAATAAAG